GTCACTGTCAGTACAGAACTTCACAGAAGCACAGTTACCGTGTTTTTACTCTTCCTGTTCTGTTCAAAATCGAAAAGAGCGTTTGGCAGGGTGATGCAATATCACTAAAATTATTCACAGCAGACTTAGAAGAGATTTCAAGACACTTCGTTAGGAAAATCAGTTGTTGAAGATAAATACGAACTACCTAAGCCCCCTTGCGGTTTCGACATAATTCTTATTCTCTCAAGGCAACCAGAATAACTTCAATGGAGAATCCAAGATCTTAACCAGGCCAGCATCAGAGCAGGGCTGAGAATGAACCAGGAAACCCAGATCATACTTAATCAATACTTTACTGTGTAACTTGCTAAAGTCAACGGATTTAGGCTTGAAGAAGCGGAAAATGACCTCCATCTCTGAAATGGAGAACCTACTGCGTAAAATCAACAGAAAAATTAAAGTAACAAAGAGCACGTTATGGCAAGATTGAAAATGTTCTAATCCGGGAATCTGCCCTTGTGCTTGAAACGGAATCTTTTCGATCAGTTTGTGTTGTCAGTGTTAACCTACGGGTGCGAAACGTAGAAGATATTAATAAGCTACAGACTATGCAACTAAATATGGAAAGCTATATATTCTAAATAATAATAGGTGGAAGAATAAAACAAAAAATAATAGCAACCGAAACGGGATTTGTGAAGTCATAGCTCACTGAAGAAGCTGAAGTGGCAACGAGCAGGAGACGTTTCTATAAGAACCTACCGTTGCTGGATTAGGATATAATAGTCTGGATGGCAAAAGAAAACAAGCGGCCCGCAAGAAGACCTTCACATCAATGGCAGGATGAGCTGAAGAAATTCAGTGGATTGAATTGTATAATACTTGCAAAAACCCCCTAATAAATTTAAAAAAGGCCTTGAAAATGCCTTCATTTTCTAACAGCGAATTGAGAAAGGCCGATGACAATCCATTTTAAATTCCTCATGTAATGAAAATGTTTCCGACCTGTATATTTGTTCATGGATAGTGACTGATTTAGTTTATGCTTGAATACGCCCTTGTTAAGTCACAGTCGATGATGAGGTTATGCAACTGCAAGTGCTTAAGTTCCACTGAGCAGAGGCTTGATTATACGGTCTCTTTAGGAGACTAGACCTGAAATGAAAAAGATTAAAACTTCCATTTTAGTACTTAAATAATTTGTTTGAAATTATATTTAAAAAAATACTATTTAACGCTTTCAAATCTCAGCTAGTTGTTGCAAGTGTAACTGCTTT